ATGTTCTTTTTTATAACTCTTCTGAGTTGTTATTGTATTTATCTGATTTTCTTCTCTCCTTCTTTTACTTCCACAGATAAGTTTCATCTTTTCCTCTAAAATCAAACTTACTCAAAAAGCAGAGATGCAAGGTTTTTTGATTTATTCATTTTTCCCAACTTTTATTGTCATTAAACTGTCACAAGTACAGAGTAGCGAAATGAACTCTCTGCATTTAACCCATCTCTAGCAGTGAGCTGCCATTGTGCGGCGTTCCGGGAGCAGTGTGAAATCAGAACCTCAGGATTCCAAGCTCTATTCCCTAACAGGCCGCCACTCCCCTAGAGTTATTGTAGGTTGACCTTACAGTAACTCTGGCCTCTACTGCTATTTATTAGGCCAGCATTTTCCATGAGAAGATGTATTGATGAAATAATGAAGATGTTCCCCTCCAGAGCTGACAGCTCCTCATGCATCCCCCCCAACCAACCCCAGCCTGACCCTCAACCCCCTGCTATCCTCTGCCTCACCTCTGCTGCCTCCTTCCTGCAGCACAGGAGCCGTTACTCAGAAAGATTTCCTCCAACTCCTCCATCATCTCACTGCGCCTCAGATCTGAAGGATGAAACATAGACGGTGAGATGATCCATGTGTCTCTTGGTGCTTTAGGTGAAAATTTTCATCCTCTAAATAACAGAGAAAGTCCTTCAGTCTTTCATTGTCTTTCCAAGAATTTTAAATCAGACTAAATTGAAACTAGAACCGAACGAACCTCTTACTAAAGACCAAATATGGGTTCTTTATATTTTCATCTTCTGCACTGAAACAAACAGATCTGCTTCATCCTGCAGATACATCAGTGGAGATTAGATGGTTCCACGCAGGTTTAATTTACACTGAAAATGTTCTCAGTCAGACCACAGCTGCAGAACATAAAGTACAATCAGGAACTAAGCATAGATGTAGACATGTTAGATGGTTTAAGAAGGTATTCCTCCTCCATCTGTTCATTTAACTATAAACTAGCTCTATATTTCAATCAATCATGTGTTCAACAGCAGTGGGGTTATAAATATACCAAAAATAATCAATCAAACTTATACCTAATTATCACACCAGTATATTTATATGAAAACAAACAAAAAAAAAATATATAAAAACACTTTATGAAAACAAAACATAATTTCATGTAAAGGTTTATTTTTGTACATACATTTTTCCCTTCTAAGGCTTTCTGAAGGCAACACTGTGTTTCCATGGTCCAATATTGTGTCACAAACCTAAAACAACAATGCACCAGTTTGATAATAGAGAAGCTATTAGTCAGCTTTATATATATATATTTTTTTTATATATAAATACTATTTATTTTCTGAGAATGTGTTTTTTTTTAAAAACAACTATGAAAATTAACAAACATCCTGAAAAAACACTATATTCTATTGTTTTCCATGTAAATCTCAGATTGTTCATTCTTCTTTGCCTTTTCTAAAGTGTGCTTTGAATCAGTCCTACCTGTCTTTATCCATGATGGGTCAGTTTGAAGAAGGAGGCAGGCAGTCAAGGCAGCAGAATAAAGCCTTAGCCTCGCTGCATGCAGTTAGTCGAGCTAAACCAGGTCCTGGAAAAAGGCAGAGTGTACCGTCTCTGGCTAATCAGGTTCAAATGGTTTCACCTCAAACTTCTCTTGGTACGTTCAATTCAATTCAGTTTATTCATATAGCGCCAATTCACAACACATGTCATCTCAAGGCACTTTACAATTCAAGCAGATCATACGGTCAAATTGATTAAAAGTTTTCTGTCTGTTTGCTTCCCTACCGCGACATTGAGCTGACTTTAAAATGGCCTGGGCGTAAATTTTACCTGGAAGACTCTCCTCAGTCTCACCTGCATCATTCATCCTTCATGTCATGCGCCTCAGTTGTAGCACATCATCACTCCACACCTTGGTATAGCCAGTCAGTGCAAGTCTCACTTTTATTAGGCCCTCCATACATGGCCCATATGCTCTTCAGCCAAGATATAACCCACCTCCACCTCCACCCTCATCCTCTTGACTCTTTCAGGCTTTCCTCCCATCTTCTGCCACCACCACCGGTATCTGGGCCCCAGGGAGAAGACATGTCTAATCCTAGTCCTCAGAGTTCATCTAAGCTTATAACAAATATCAGCATCCACATCTTCTGATGAGGTCTGAGCAACAAACAACTTTTACTTATTCATATTAAATTAATCTTTCTAATTGCTAATTGTTTCTCTCCTTGTGAGTCTCTCCAGATTAAAATCACCCATACTATTGTCCTGCCATACCTCTTGTCATGATCTGGCCAGTTTGCTCCTCCTTAATTAGTCATTCCTTTCACCTGCCGTTTTCCCTCCCTGCCTCAATTATAATTTATTCCTCTCACC